AACGAATACACCTTACCGTCCCTAGAATATGTCTAAATAGGCATACAGTATTGCGAGGATACGAAGTTTGGTAAGCTTCCTGCTTATGTATAGAGTCGAATGGAAGTTCATCTGCAATTGAGAACATTTGTAAAATGCGTCTTTCCTTCACATGGGTCCTATGGATGACACAATGTACGGAATAAAAAGCGTATACATTACTTTTACAGTGGCTGGTATTCTATTCTGCAGTTCATGGAAACTGGGCCCGATGGGAGGACTGGAGACAATGCAGTGTGTCGTGCGGTGGAGGAACACAGATTCGAAGTCGGACCTGTACCAATCCTCCGCCACAATTTGGTGGCCGAAACTGCAGTGGCGAGAGTCAAAATGAGCGGTCTTGTAACGAGCAACGGTGTCCAAGTAAATAATTTATTTTTGACTGTTTGAGGGAGGTTCTTCTCTCAGTTCTTCACACCTGATTTGCCTTTAACAAGTTCATGTAATGTTCTTTTTCATGGAGTTCACTTCTATCGCCTTTCGACGATTTAATCCTTTTATACACCATCGTTGTGATCTAATTGTTAACATAAAGCAATAAATACAACCACCACTAACATGGAATGTTATTGGTTGCTCAGTTGATGGAAGGTGGACGAGGTGGAGTGATTAGGAGGCTTGTGCCAAATTATGTGGTGATGGTACTCAGTTGTCCCGTCGGTCATGTACCAATCCTTTCTCTGAGTTTGGAGGAGCTGACTGTGAGGGAGATAGCATCCGGTCAAGGCCGTGCAAAGAATAGGAATGTTCTGGTAAATACGATACCCTATGCATGTTACGAAGTGAATCATGCTTCGTTTGTTATGTTTGAAGATTCTCAATTCAAAAATGGCGAGTTATTAAATAATATATTCCATTTTTTTCTCTTGAGCACTCAGAGGTTTCTCTTTGTCCCCTGGTTATGGGTTTCGGATAATTTACTACTATTCGTTTCCAAATGTAAAGCAGTTGATTCGTTGGTTTGTTTTGTGTGTTCTTCTTGGGCTGATAAATTCTTACCGCTGATGTGTAATTGTGTTGCACAGTTGATGGAAACTGGAACGGTTGGGGAGACTGGGAGGTCTGCAGTGTGACTTGTGGTGGAGGAATTCAAAGCCGTACTCGAACGTGCACCAATCCTTGGCCAAGATTTGAAGGCCGTGACTGTAATGGAGAAGAATTTGAGGAACGTCCCTGTAACGACAACCCATGTCCAAGTAAAAACTTCCACTAATCTATTTACCACTGTTATTGTACGCCATCATCTCTGTAAATTTCGAGACTGATTCTTCTAACACTGCCTAATGTTTTTGTTTCTTAATCAACAAGTCAAATAATTTGTACTTTTAAAATATCTCCGTACAAAGGAATGAACGAAGCCTAAGTGCTCACATGCACATTCCCTCCACATTTATTCCTTTATTCTTTGATCACTGTCGGAAGTCTGAGAAATGCCCTTACTGATGCCTATACGTCAAAAGCTGACTCTAACCATAAATTCCCTGTCATTGAATGTGTAGTTGACGGTAGGTGGACAAGATGGGGAGACTGGGAACAATGTTCCATGACATGTGGTGGTGGAGTTCAAGTGTCCCGCCGATCATGCACTGATCCTGCGCCGGCGTTTGAGGGAGCAAATTGTGAAGGGGACAGCTTGCGTTCTCGATCCTGCAACGAGGAGGAATGTCCTGGTAATTACGTGTAACAAAGCGCACGCTTCCCACGATTTAGGTTGCAAAATGAAAATATCATGCTGTTCATGTGTGTTCCTGGAGTTTTACTTTGTGCAGTTAATTGATTCAAATATACCATCATGCCTCCTGGTCATCAGTTGCAAGCCCTGTGCATGCGTTTCGTGTAGTATTCCCTATCGTTGTTGTTGTTTTTGTTTCTGCATACATATGGTCCACCCAAAGATTAAGACAAACGTATTACAACGATGGGTTCAATTAATCCACAGTTGATGGAAAGTGGACTGACTGGGAAGATTGGGAGCTATGCAGTGTCACGTGCGCTGGAGGAACGCAGAGTCGATTTCGAACTTGCACCAATCCTCCGCCGCGATTTGGAGGCCGGAACTGCAGTGGAGAAGGACAGGAAGTCCGTTCTTGCAATGAAGATCCATGTCCAAGTAATGAATTCTTAATTTTTCTCTCGAAATATACGTGAGTATTTTTCTCAAATTTGTAGGGAAGTTACTTATTATTCGAGTTACACAAACGACTGCGGCACCATTTCTCTGTATCTTGTTGACTTTAAAGGAAGGTTAATTCAAGAAAGCTAGGGACAGGTGTTTATCTCCAACTGTTTTCGCTGTCAGTGGTTACATTCAAGTTTATGCAGCTCCACTAGCCATCTTTACGCTCTTCCACCGGTTATTGTAGCAAACTGATATTTTTAGACATTCGGAGATGAACTGATATATGCTATCTTGGTTAAATGAGTTGAGCGACTTCTGACACAAATCCCTTATGAACGCATATTTGCAGTCGACGGAAGGTGGACAAAGTGGGGAGCATGGGAACCATGTCCCGTATCGTGTGGTGGTGGTATTCAGTTGTCTAAGCGGTCTTGTACCAATCCTGCTCCTGCTTTTGGAGGAGACGACTGCGAAGGGGACAGCGTTCGCTCAAGATCCTGCAACGAACGAGGATGTCCTGGTAAATTCGATTGACAGACTTCCACTCTTAATTTTCCATTTTATCGATTATCACACCCATCCTTACAAACAGAGAACCATTGTCAGTTTGCTACGTTTTGCATATTTGCCTGAAGTAACAGATGGTTTTATCCAATGAATCTTCTCCTATCTCCCATGGCGACTTCTCCATAGAAACAACATTTTGTAGCTTTGAAAGAAAGCTACCATGTGCTTTTAACTTTAAAGCGATTCTTCTTCTTATATCTTAGAAATTGCTAGTGATAATTTCCTCGGTTTTTTTTAATTGGTATTGTTCAACCTTATCCTTATAGCTACAGAAAGGTTGGTATCATTTGGCTTTTTTTGCTCACCTACTTTTCTAATTTGTTTTTCGTTCGGTTAAGCTGACGGAAACTGGTCAGTGTGGAGCGAGTTTACCCTTTGCTCCGTTTTTTGTGGTGGCGGAAGACAAAACCGCTCCAGAACATGCACCAACCCACCACCGAAAAACGATGGAAAATACTGTGCTGGAGAGAGCAGTGAAATACGACCCTGCAATACTCTACCATGTCCAGGTAAGTACTTCAACACCTAATTCTTTAAATTGTTTTTTGCTACATTTCCGAAATAGTTATGAAAACAACAGTTATGTGAATCATAAGATTGCTGTAAAGTGTACAATAAATCGCCTTGCCTAGCGCTTGAACAGTTACAGCAGCCGTACGTTGCACAACAATAAGAAAAGAAACACGGACTTTCATAAAACCCGCCAATACGAACAATCAAATAAAATGGTCTGACCAAGGGTAGGGTACAAAATTTTTCTTGTGAAGTCATATATACTTCCTTTCTTATGTAATAGTCGACGGAGGATGGTCATCGTTCGGAGAGTGGGGCTCATGTTCTCTGACATGTGGAGGTGGCGTTCAAGATCGACAAAGAACTTGCACCAATCCCCCTCCAGCCCACAGCGGTAGACCTTGCGACGGTTCCAGTGTGGAAACCAGATTTTGCAAACAGTTTCCATGTCCAGGTAATTTGAATAAAGCACACCAGCTTAACCATTCTTTAATCATTGGTTATTTTTCATATTATATATAATATATATTATATTTTACAATGGCTTTCCCTTTTTCAGGGGATGGGAAATGGTCTGCATGGAAGCCCTGGTCTCCCTGCAGTGTGTCATGCGCATTAGGAACTCAGAGTCGATCTCGTACTTGTACCAATCCTCCTCCAACCTTTGGTGGTAGAGTCTGCGTTGGAAAGAGTGATGAGACCAAGTCCTGCAATAATGGACCTTGCCCTGATAAATAACCTAATTCATTGGGATTTATCATGTTTTTCCCCTTCTGATTATTTTATTCGGGTATTCATTGGAGGGAAACCCAGGTTTAAGAGGCCATCCCAAATACATAGCTTATGGGTGGGCAATTCAGCTCGGGAGAGTTTAGTTACAGCGAGGATATTATTTCACTTAATTAAGAAATTGGAAAATAATTCAAGATGTAAGTTATTTACTCCTACATAACGTTAGGAAATGGTGACTAACTGGTCTCATTATGGAAAAATGGGAACTCGTTAGATGAAATAAACTTATCTTCCTATTGTAAATAATTTATTTGATTCATTTCTTTTCACCCCCCCCCCCCCCCTCGTCACTCAACAAAAACTCAAAAATAAAACTAACAGTGAATGGAAGGTGGGCAAGATGGAACCCATGGAGCTCATGCCCGGTGAGGTGTGGGGGCGGAACTCAAGTACGTTTACGATCCTGCACTAATCCCCCACCCGCCTTTGGTGGAGCAAATTGCATCGGAGAAAGACGGCAGGCTCAACCATGTAATGTGCAGCCGTGCGAAGGTAAGGTTTACTTTTTTTCTCCCTGACTGAATAATTTGTATTACTTTATCCTGAAACGAACGACTTCTATAAACTGAGACACTGAGAACCTTGTTAATGGCATGAGTCGCTTACAAGTCCTTTACATCACACTTGGGGGTGCAATCAACCCCAAAATCTGCATTAAAGCGCGAAATCCGAAGGTTGTGAGTCAGTGTGGCCGAGTGGTTAGGGAACTGGGTTTGAAATCAAGCGTTCCCGTCTACCAAGCTTCTCACTGAATTTGTTCTCGGATGCCCCGGGTTCATTTCCTTGGCTGAGCTTTGTGTATCGCTGACTGGTCTACCTCCTGCCAGCTGGGATTTTTCCATACACTATGTTCATGTACTATGTTTGTTTTTTCATTTGTTTATTTCCCATTTGTCACATAATTTGTAAAGCACATTTGATCATATCTACAAGCCAATTTGCGCCTTGGAAACATTATTAACTGATAATTTCTTACTTAGTTTGCTCTCTGATGAGGGACTCAGAGTTTCTTTGAGTCTTTTTTGAGATGAATATTTCACATCCCTTTTCAAGAAACGATGTGCTACTTCTCACTCATGTCCAGAATTGCACACAGTTATGAAAACGGCAAACTTGCGTCAAAGCGAACTCGGCTACGCGGAGTTGACGATTTTGAAGAATTTTTAGTCAGATTGACTATTTCGTGGAAATTTCGCCATATTTGAATCTCTGGACATATCTCTTCTCTTTTTTTTTTAAATAAGACTTTAATTCGTATTCATTAACCGCCTCCCATTCAGCTCAATGGATAGTGCATTGAACTGTTGTGCGGGAGGTCGAGGGTTCGAGCCCCGGCCGGACCAACAGTCAAGGTCTTAAATAATTGAGAAGAATATGCTGCCTTTCTATAACATCAAGAAATGGTTAGGTATTCTAGTCTTCTCAGATAGGGACCAATAAATGGAGGTCGCGTCTTCTGCGGGGTTAGGGGTAGGGGACGTTAATTTCCCACGCACGAGATTACTGTGTGATGGAGGTCCTCCCCTGGGGTGGGATGGGTGGGTTGCTGTCTTGCGTTTCATACATGAGCCTCTGGCTAGGGCAATCTGGGTACCAAGCCTCACGTAAAGACAATAAACTTCATTGATTGATTAATTCATTCATTTCACGCAGTTCATGGCAACTGGGCACGATGGCAAAGCTGGAGCATATGCAGTAAGAGCTGTGGTGGAGGGGATCAGAGCCGAATGCGAACTTGCACAAATCCTCCACCTCTTCATGGTGGCAGGCAGTGTTTAGGAAGGAACAAGGAGACTCGCTCTTGCAACAGGCGGCCATGTCCAGGTAAGAGCGAATCCTTCGCTCTGACAGAGGGCTAATGGTCGAAACTTCAATTTACGGTGACCAATTATCGTTACAACTGAGTTGCTAAAGCTAAATTGTCTTACATTACCCCCCATCGACGCAACACCACAGTTTCTTAAGAAACTTACGCCTTTTCAGGCAAATCTTCCTAGAATCTTCATAGACCTTTCTTGGGTTGTCTGACTCCAAGGACTATTTGTCCGGTGCGCTCACAATGCCAATATTGTTACCAGCGCCACAAAACTAACCAATCCCAACCGCGAAACGAAATATGATTCAAACTGATTACAATGGTTAGGAGAAGGCAAGTAAATTTTATCGAGTTCATGAGCGATTCATCCCTTTTTCCCTAGGATTGGAGTAGCCAGTATTTTGTCTGTGACTTAGTGACTCAAGTAGTCGCATTGCAATTATTTGAGAATATCCGCACCGCCATTTCATGAAGTGAAGATAAAAATACAATTATATCTTGATTTTTTTTCTTCCTAAATGAAACAGTCGACGGTAACTGGGCTGACTGGAAACCATGGAGTAGTTGTTCAAGGTCGTGTGCCGGAGGAAAACAGATCCGTTGGCGTTCTTGTACCAATCCCCAACCTTCCAGTGGTGGATCTTGGTGTATTGGGAGTCGACAGGAAACAAAATCCTGCAATGAAGATAAACTGTGCCCAGGTAAATAAATTAAATTAGTTCGTAATGATGGAAACCTTGGACTGTGCAATGATGGTTTTGAGAACCAAACTTAGGATCAAGGAAACGAATGATGTGCTTCCCAAGAACTGCTTTGAACAATTTATGTTGTCAACTTAAATTTGCAAGTAACTAAACAATTTAAGGCTACCCTATGTTGAATTCTGCATCTTGAATTCCGTAAGGATAAGCAATTCCGCCAGTATCATATGTTTTAATAGAAAAAAAGAATATTCATCTCATTCCTCCAAGAGAGAAAGGTGTATATGAAACCACTACCACTGAAATAAAGAGAACGTGTTCATGCTCACAGCCACTTACTATCTTTCTATCACTTGAGACAGAACAAATACCACTTTTCTCTGTTAGCTCAAATAACATCTTTCTCAGTCGATCTATTTACTATTCCCCAATCAGTTAATGGTGGTTGGTCCTTCTGGGGTTACTGGGGTCGCTGCTCAGTTTCCTGTGGAGCAGGAGTAAGGCATCGAGCCAGAACTTGTAACAATCCCCCACCAGCACACGGTGGAGCACGGTGTCGTGGAGAAAGCAAAGAAGTTTCTTACTGTGAGAGTTCATCCTGCCCAGGTAGCTAACACGACACAATTTTGACTCTATTTTCACCTTTGTTTTTCTTTAACCAAGGACTACATGTACAATGAAGCATGGAGCTGTACGGAAATCGTGTCATTGATATATATGTTTGAACATGATATTTACAATTTGTCTGAAAATTTACAGAAAAAATAAACGATATTGTTTTTAAAGAAGGTTAGAGATCCAGCCCTTGGTAACACACCCTTCCCCTACATAAACATTTAACGTACCTTACATCATACACCACTAAAGTCTGTACATAATGTGTTACGCTTTCAGTCTGACGAAGGGCTAACTTTCGATACGTCAACTGAAGGAACTGTTTACGATGGCCAATTTACATTATCAACTTAGTCGATAAAATCAAATAATCTTGTAATACCATAATTTGGTTATATCAACTAAGTTGGAATTGTAACTTGGCCACCTTAAAGAGTTTAAAAGCTGACGTTCCCTTTCGCTCTGACGAAGGGCTAACACTCGAAACGTCAGCTTTTTAACTCTTTACGGCGGCTGATGTACAATTTCAACCTAGTTGAAATAACCAAATCACCTTGTTACTCCCACCGACGCAGCACCACAGTTTCTTTAGAAACTTGCCACCTTTATTCATTTATCTTGTATTACCCCCTTCCCCGCTCACACCGACACAGAGCCAGAGTTTCTTTACGGAAACTTACCCTTTTTTTCACTCATTGTTTTACAGTTGATGGTAATTGGAGTCAGTGGGGTCGTTTTAGCCGATGCTCAAAGAGGTGTTGGGGTGGAATAAAGCGTCGTTACAGATTTTGTTCTAATCCACGTCCATCTAATGGTGGTAAGGAGTGTCCGGGCGAGGGAGTGGAAGAAATTCCTTGCAACACAAGACCTTGTTCAGGTAATAACCATTATGAGTCCTCATTGAGTTCTATTGAGGACAATCATCTCTTGATTAGACTTGACCTCCTCAAGGATTCTTCGAACAATCTACATGATGATCGAGTGAGCTTTAGATATGAATGTTAAGTTGAGTGAAATAACCTCCTCGGTGTTTCAATTAACAAATGGTAAACACCACAGCGTACACTATTGAGTTATGGATGCACGTGGGAAGCTGCTAAACACGAAAGAAGCGTAGGAGTCGCGCGAGGTGACAACCGAGAGCGACTCTAGCTTCATGAGTGCTTAGCAAACCTCCCAGGTGCATCCATAACTCAATAGTGTATACTGTGGCGTTTACCATTTGTTTTATAACATAACATTGATACATGGCAACAAAAGAGTTTTCTTTTATTTAGCAAATCTTACGTGACCAGTAAAAACAAGCGCGCGCGGAAAACTAGTCTTAGCATTTGCTCACGTCGGCAGCGTACACCCATGGGCAAATGGTGGATACTGAATTGACCAATCAGAGCACGCGCTTTACTTTGGTTATGTTATAAAATCCATTAACAAGGGAGCGAATGTACGTTTAACCATGTTTGCAGACGTGATACGTTTTACATTACCTGTCAGTATAATGCAGGTCACATATGGACTTAATAAACCGCTTAACTCATACAATAAATTACAACCCACATAACATTCTTAACTCGACTTTATATTCGTTTTGCACAGTTAGCTTACAATTATTGACTAGTTATGTAATACATCCTCGTTTTTGTTTTCATTTAACAGTAAACGGAAACTGGGGCCGATGGGACAATTGGAGTCCGTGTTCAGTAACTTGTGGTGGCTTGGGGCTGAGAATAAGAAGAAGGCAATGCAACAACCCCCCTCCATCGCACGGCGGCAGATATTGTCCTGGAAGCAGTTCATTCACGGCTTCCTGCGCCGGTTGGTTACCTTGTGAAGGTAAGTCTGGCAGGTATTTATTCGTAAACTGGAAGGTGGTCATTATTTTGGCTTGTATTAAACCCTTCGAAGTGATAAATCACTTTATTTGAATATATGAAAATCATTATTCATCACAAGCTCCCAGTTGACTCGTTAGCTCAGTTGGTAGAGCACTGAACCGGTACTGCAAAGGTCGAGGGTTCAAATTCCGTGCCAACCTAAATTTTTTTTCAGGCCTTATTTCCACTACTACGTAAGTGGGGAATATTACTGCGAGGATCGCTTTCAAACATTTCATGAAACCCTAGTATACACATATGATTTTCATATATTCAAATTCATTGATTTATCACTTCGAAGGGTTTAATATGAACCGATATAATAACCAGCTTCCAGTTGGCTCGTTAGCTCAGTTGGTAGAGCACTGCACTGGTATCGCAAGGGGTCATGGGTTCAAATCCCGTACGGGCCCGAATACTTCTGTTTTGTTTTTGTCTTTTTGTTTCAGGCTTAGTTTCCTCTACTACATAAGTAAGGTTTATTAGTGCGAGGATCGCTTTCATACATTTCATGAAACCGCAGTACACATATATGATTTTCATATATCCAAATTCATTAAGAAAACAATTGGTATAAAATATCTGGGATTTATGGCCCTGATCGTCCTTAACTAGAATGAACGTTTGTCTCAGTGCGTATCTTGATAAACAGGTAGGTTAAGTCAGTACTCGAGCTGAGTGGCTCTGCAACCTGAGCTTACTCCGGGTTTCATAGCATGAAGTGACAAGGATTAATGCCAGTTAATCGCAAGGTTACCCCCCACCCTCCCCCTCTCCCACTCCCCGGCATTTCATCGGCTTGCCTGATAATTCACTTGTTCTCATTCATTCTCCTGGGTGGAGAGAGAGGCTCTGTGAAAGTTATCCAATTACACAACACAATGACCTGGGTTGATCTCCAATCCGCACCACTCGACCCAGACTCCAGCGCACTAACCTTTGTGCCACCGTTTCTCCTAAGTAGGCAAAGCCTTTATGTGATCTGAGTGAGTTCACACTTATTACGCTGTTTTGTTTTCCTAGTAAACTGCAATATCCCTCTTGACTTTGCTATCATCGTGGACACATCTGGCAGCATTTCTAGGAGGAACTTCCATCTTCTTCAACGGTTCATTCACAGTCTGGTGGATGGCTTTAAAGTGGCTAAAGACTACACCCATATAGCGATCATTGAATACAGCACCGCTGCTTCTGTGCAACTCCGTTTCAATGACCTGTCTGGAAGAAATCTTACTAGAAACAATGTAAATAAAAAAGTGCAGAGTATGCCCCATAAAAAAGGGTTCACTTTCATCGACAAGGCATTACGTAAGGCAGACCAAGACGTTTTCACATACGCCGCTGGCATGCGATATGATTCGGATAAGGTAAATATATTTGTTCACGATCACCATCGAGCCTTGGTTTTAAGGAGTAAGCGACCAGTACTGAAAGTTGGAAAAAGTGCTGATTACGTTTCAAACAAGCTTCCGCTTAAAAAAGATTCTGGTCAACCGCGGTGAATTGAGTGCATGTGCAGAGAAATTCACCATTTTCATTTCTGTCTTCTGTTGAGTTTTTCACTCATTGCGCTTAGTCTTTCGAATAAATCAGTCCACAAACATTTAACGCGTTTGAAACTTAACACTTTTAGGTGGCACTCGTAATGACGGATGGGGAGCAAACAGTTGAAAAGAACTCTACGAAGTCAGACATCGAGATTCTTACCGAAGCCTCAAAGCCTCTTAAAGATAAGGGTGTGCGCATTATTTCGCTTGGAATTGGAAGACGGGCCAATAAGAAAAGTCTGGAGGCCATTTCCTCAGGAAGTGACGTGTACTCTTCGGAATCTTTCTCTAAACTCAGACTACTAGTGAGAAAATTAAAGAAAGGAACCTGCCAAGGTGAGTACAAAGGAATTATGCAGTCTGTCAGTACTAGCTATTTTCAAGACAGTTGTACCAACATTATTATAACTTGTAGCCTGTCCGTGGCATTCAGTGAGTAACAGTGGAGCAAAGCAGTAAACGGTTCAATAGTTGCGGCGGAGTGAAGAAGCTAGGGATGCGAAGGTTTCTATCGCTTCTATCGCACAGTTTATAATCGCGTTTCGTTTTACTAAACGAACGCCTGGAACAGGCTATATAACTTCGAAATGCGATGAGAATGCTTAGTTTCATACGCAGAACATTTAAAATTTTCTATTTTAATTCATTTATATTTAGGTCACTGAATGCTCACTCTAAGTTTCTTTTCTTTTGTTCAGCGACAGTGACAGCAGCAGGCTACAAATACGTGAGAAGGACGAAAAAGATCTAAAATCATCGATTATCGATCTTAAATCTCTATCTCTGCCGTAAAACAAACGAACCAGGGAAACAAACAAACTTCACAGCTCCATGTGTAGGAGCTTCTGTGAAAAACAAGTTGTTTTTGTCCAGCACAATATTATTATCAATGTAAGAGATTAACAAACCACTAAATTGGTGCAATATTCATGATACAGTACTTGTGGACCAGTCATTATTTATCGCATATAAGGGGGTGGGTGCTTTTAGGGGGGGTCCTATGGTTTTCAAGGGGAAAGGTGGGGGAACAGGGCACTATAGAAAGTTGACTACCAATGACAGGGGATCGAGGGATCATCAGGATGCTACAAAGCTTTATGGGGGAGGGGAAATCAGGCTACCGTAATCCTCCCACCTCCCTCCCCCCGTGCCATAAGATAAATGATGACCGGTCCTTTGTGGTGACAATAATGACGATGATAAAAAAACAATGCTAACGATAATAATGGTACTAACAATAAGGTAGCTAAGCAAACGGGTAATAAGGAAATGCAATAATTTATTGTTGGGACTTTAAAATTCTCAAAATCAGTAAGTTCTTGATATAAGTCTTATATCACAATTGCGATGTCACACGGCGAACTAGTGTTCTTATCTTCCATAACTTTTTTTAATCGTGACACGAGTGGTGTTGTTAGATCTTTTCAGTCTAGTGAGAAATATATTATAAGGGATATT